ACCTCATTGACCGGTACTTCCGAGTCATTGAAGGATCAGCGTCTTCCCCAAACCTCTTCTCCTTGCTGGTGTTCCGCAGGGCAGTGTTCTGGCGCCCGTACTGTACCAAGTGTACACGGCAGACCTTCCATCCCATCCTCAAACTACCACTCTAACCTTTGCAGACGATACAGCGATCCTTTCAAGCAATTCTAATCCAGTCATTTCCACTCGAAACCTTCAAGAATCTGGAATCATGGTGTAAAAAAAAAGACTCAAATCCAACCCAGAAAAATCCACCCACATAACCTTCACCCTCCGCAAAAACATCCCTCCTCCAGTCTACTTCAATCAAATACCCCTCCCAATTACGGACAAGGTGCGCTACCTAGGATTATACATTGACAAACGTTTGACGTGGAATCCCCACACACGACTGAAACGACAAGAAGTTATGAAACGTTACAGAGCACTTTCACGACTTCTTGACTGACGTTCTAACCTACCTCTCTTAAACAAAAGACTACTTTATATCACTGTAGTGAAGCCGATATGGACTTACGGACTAGAAGTGTGGGGTTCAGCCAAACATTCCAATATCCTACGCCTCCAAAGAGCCCAATCCATCATCCTCAGAAATGTGTCCTTTTATGTGTCTAACGACACTACCCATATAGACCTAAATATTCCTTTTGTCCAAGATGTAATTCACTCCCGTTACCGAAAATTTTACACAAACCTCCCAACCACTATAAATCCTCCAATTCAAATCCTCTCATCCCGACGAATCCCTTCCAACCCCCTTCGCCGACTTAAAAGACGATTGCCACGGGATCTTCTATCCAGTGACCATTGAATAAAGAATAGTTTGGAGTACTACCAGTGGGTAGTTTCTCCACTCTTGTTTCTTAATTACTTATTCATACACTATTACTAGATACCAAAATGGAGGTAGTTGTAATATACAATAAAAAAATAAAAAAATAACTGTGGTTACTAACTTCAACATCGATCCTGTTAATAAATGCTAACAAATGCATTCACACACATAAACATGATAGAAACGATTTCCAATTATTTTCGAGAGAAAAAGAAGTAAATGAATGCGCGGACTCCACATTCACTTTCTATAAAGAGACAAGACACGACATTCTTCTGTTATATATCATTATTATAGGTCATTATCGACCTGTTTCCTTCGTACGGAGGACACAGATTTTTGACCAAAAGTGTTTGAGCGTAAGCCACTTCACGTCTTGTTCTGAGCCGGGCGAGAAAGTTTCATACTTCCGTTTCACTCAATCCACCGACAAAAATGATCTTGGTATTTTTACTACAATGTAAATATCTGCTCTATTATCTTATTTTCATGTCATATAGTCAATCCTATATACACTTTAACTCCATGACACCTGAGTTGCAGAATAAAACGGAAATTTTAATGAAAAACACCAAAAGGAATAGCACAGAATTCAAATTTTTATTCCTATCCTGGGTTAAATCTGACCAGCCTAGATATTTTTGGGAAGGTTTCTTTGCGTTGAATAGAGACGACGTCTTTCGTGTTTATATTTTTGTTTACATTAAATTTACATGTTTTGTTTAAATTAAGTTTTCAACAATCTAAACACTTCTGGGTTTTTTCTAAACATCTAAAAAAAATAAAATCTACTTATGTTTTTTTTTCTGAATCGACCCTGATAAATTCGTATTTCTTTGTTTAATTTAAAAGTTAATTCTCCTGTCTGGATACATTTTGATATATTTTTCTTGTCCTGACACAGATCAGGACTTGAACAAAGTTTCAAAGTTTCTCTGCTCTTTCTTTTTTAATTAGCAACACCTCTTTTGCTTTTGATAGACCAGCCTTTGTAGCCAATTTTAGACTATGTCCCCTGGTAGACACTGGCAAGATGCAACTTGATATTTCTTTTAATTGGATTTACCTACTTGCTGCGAATAACTTCGCTCCCTTCACTTCTTAGTAGTTACTTCGGCAAGTTTCATTTCCCCTTCATTTAAATAATTCATTCAATTATCTAACTCCTCTCTCTTGCTTTGAACCGTTTTTTTTCCCAACACTCCATCTACGACCGGCAGTGCAAATGTTTTTAAAGATTGTCTCAGGAAATGAAAAAATCAACTAAATATCTCGGTGGTAGAAAAATTGGAACACGTTGTTTCTCTGCATTCATACAAAATCAATGGTATTTTAAAAGGAACCGTGGGTTTATTGTGAGTTTTTACGTCATTTGAAAGCTCATACATCTCTAGAAATATATTCAATAGGGATTAATCTTCAGGGCATTCGAAAGACACACATAAAATCACGTGATCAAATGCCTGGAAATGGCGTCTGATTATGCAATTCCTGGAACATCTTTTGCAATAAATTTTAACAAACGGAAAGGGGTCATTCAATTAGGGCGATTGAGTATTCGATATTCCTCCATCATCCTTTGCACATAGGAAATAGTGTACAAAAAACTGACCTAATCGATGGTCGATGTGGATATTCTGCCATCGATCCTGTCACATCACAAATTCACGCTAATAAGTACATCCCGCTCAGAAATACAGTCACTTTCAACACAACCACAAAACATCGTTTTTAAAATTTTCAATTCTTGTCCTTTCTAGTCATGCAGAAAATTTTATTCCATTTGATTCAATGTAGATTGAGATGGATGGATTAAATTTTGAAAATATTCCACAAATGTGGACGGACTTACCTATTCAAAGATAACGTTTGATTATCTCCTTTTTTCTAGATAAATGTGTTCATGAACTACCTATTTTCATTAAATATAAGACTAAGTTTTATTTTTGATTCAAAAACAAGTATATATGTTAATAAAGCGACGCCGGTATTGTGATCCTTTCATTTTACAGTCTTTATTTAAGAACGATTCTCTTCAGAACTAAAACTTATGTCGGATTATTCAAATCGGACCAAGAATGTAGCATTTATGCTCAGTCCATTTTAGGTATATTGATAAACTTATACAATAAATTAATATTCAAAAACGGAATTGAATCTCAAATTCATAAACTTATCTGTTCTTCATTGGATCAACTGTTCGCCTTTCATTTCACAACCATTTATGGTAAAATATGCTACTGCTCTAAGGATTGAACCTTATAATGTACAAAATGAAAGGAAATAATATTTTTTATATATTTAAATGGGTTTTGATTTTTTTGGTATAATGTATTTTATGGATGTTTTGTTTGGTCTAGTTTACTCCCAAAAGTTAACGACCTGCGTTAACATTTATAACGCGGATTAAAAAAAAAAAGTCAGCAGTTTTATCATATGCCGTCGCCCACAAAGTAATAATGACCCTAATAATAGTGGTAATAATATTTCAATTTTTTGAAAGGTGGGAGGCACGTTATGGTAGCATGCGCGTGTGATTTTGATCTGAAAGATAAGATAAATTAAAATACGAGCCTCGGCATGATTAGCTTTATCAGTTTTATACTGTGTTAAAAAACAAACTGCACTTGCTTTAAAAAGAGTCGAACGGGAAATGTAAATAAAATAAATAAGACTATGAATGAGAAAATGCTGATATTGGCAATTAAAGTTTTTTTCATTTACTAATTTATTTCAACGATTTAAAAGAAAAAATGTCACAATTTATCGTTTTTTTTTTTTTTAAAGCGGTCTTACATCCCTTTTAGAAATGTTGAAATGGAAGATCAACGTTTTTGTTTGATGAGTCGGGCTGATTAGTTGGAGAGACAATGTAGGACCAATTTTAAAGGAAAAGTTCCCCCTAGCTAGTCGCTTTTAATCTTGTCTGCACCCTTTGCAAGGGGTTGTGGCTCTTTTCGGCGAACCCTTTAACACCTTCGAAAATTGGCCCTGTCATCCCGCTTCTCCATTATTATTCTGTCCGGTTTTTTGGGCCGGGACGCCGTCGCTATTTCCTCGAGGATTCTTTCATCGTAGCGGAATTTGGCCAATGTTATTTCATACACAGGTTGTGTTTAAAATACTTCAAACCCAAAAAACTCTCTAAGAGGTGATAATGATGAGAAAGATAATAACAACGGGGTTTTTATAATCTCCAAGCACTCCAACATTGCGTTTTCATTGAACTTTTCATAGGTCTTTAGTTCAATCTTTTTTTTTTTAAATATGACATTGTGTTGCATTTCAGCAACTCTTTTCCGGTTCGCATTCGAAGATCGTGTAAACGCGCAAAAATGAATAGGGATATTGCCAATTTCGTAGTACTTACTTTCTCTAGCATTTTTATTTTATTAATAATTATAAATTGCATTAAAATTGATTAGAGATTATTACGATTTTTACTGAAGGAATATTTAATTAAGGGATTGTAAAAAATAACTATATAAAAGGTTTTAATTCCGTAGTTTTGGCTATTGGACAAAATATTTTTTTAAATTAATACCATGTATAATGTCCACTGTTAGCTAAAACTTCTATGCACCTGCAGGCATACTGTTGATAAGGTTGTCACTAAGTTCATAAGGAATTCCACACCATAGATAATCGTAAAGCCTTCTCTGCAACGCATTCCACATGTTCTCAATGGGATTGAGGTCTGGACTCAATGGGGGATGGGGCAGATGAGAAATTCTCAGGTTTTCTAAACATTCATTCAAGTCAATATCAGTATTGTATCAGTCAATTGGTTTGACGTGCAGATTGCAATTCCTTTAGTTTAAACTTTTTATTTACACAATCCAACAATGTTAGAGGAGGCGTATATGATATGAGTAGATATTTTCTGCGGTATTGAACTGAACTATAAAATATTTAACACAATCATTTAATATTCTCTCCGGCCAGGAATTGTCTGCTTTTGAAAGTGGTCATTAACTTCCGAAAAAAATGCCTTGAATTTTTAATATTTTTTATTTATCCGCATAATTAGAAATAATATTTGTCTTTCTTTTATTTACATTTAGCCTTGTTATCTTTTAGCTAAGATAAATATAGTCCTATGAACCATGTCAGATTCGTATCTCGAAAAAATATTCAGCAGTGAAAATAATTGTTCACTTAGGCTGACACATTGACCCTGTCAAACCAATTCTGATTAGTTTTATTATCTTGTTTCTAATAACGTTTCTTAGCATTTGCCCATGTACAATTCTTAATTAGGTTCACTATTCGGACGACAAAATTGGTCATGAACTTCTACACCTCAAATACAACAAAAAAGTGAGTATGCACCCTGATCCGATTCTCAGCCCTTTTTTAGATAATCGACATTTTATTTATTTGTTTATTTTTTTCACTGCGGTTTTTGTCACAAACGTATTCAGTTCTTGAACAATTCAATTTTAGGGAAATCCAAAAATAAGCATTGAAAATAACATTAAATTAGATGTAATAAGTCATCCTTCTAGAAATTTCAGTTTATTTTTTAGAGAAAAAACATGAAATTCTTCAAAAAATTGCTAAATTGAAAATTTGTAAAAATTTAAATTTGTAACCTTGGAAAGATTCACAGAAGAATTTATAAAAACTTCTTAACAACTTCTTCGTTTAATAAGCTTTCTAACGTTATACCTTGGAACGGAAAAAAATGGTGACGGTTTGGAAAAGAGGGAATAGGGTTAATCTTGCAATTCAACATTTTGGTCTTGGACAAAATTTATTTCCTAACTTTAGCTTAATAAAAAGCACAAAAGGAAAAAATAGAAAAAAACAATAAACACAGTAAACAACCGAAATAGGAAAATTAGTTAAAATATTTACACTAAACACAAACAAAACAAAAAACCCTTAATACAATATAACTTAACAAAGAGCACAAAAAGAATGAAAATTGAAAGAAAAATCAAAGAAATCACATAAAAACAAAACAATAAACATAATGAACAATCTCATTATGTTAATTTTTTGTGTGATTTTTTATTAGGTTAAAGTTCGGTTTTACAACTTCTGTATTATGGATCTATTTTTTCTTTTGTCTGTGTTTAGTGAAGGTATTTTATCTATTTTTTCTGATTTGGTTGTTCGCTATGTTTATTGTCTCTTTTTCAGTTTGATTTTTATGTCCAATTATTAATTTTTTGCTTTTTCATTGAATTGTTACTACAAATTTACGAATTTTGTGCAAATTCAAGAAGTTCGTCACTTCCTGAAAACAATTATTCCAATCAATAGAGTTAATATATACAGAATAAATATAAAATTAATTTTTCCAATATTTACACACCTACATTTCCTATTTTTTTATACCAAACAAATATCCCTCTTTAGGTTTTCCATAAACAGTGTTTTTTTTTGTTTTTTTATGCATGCAAAAGAGCTTGTAATTATTCACCTTTTTTTTAATTCGTATCATTTTCTTTTAAGAAAGTTCGGAATAACAAAAATATATCATAGCCCTTAACAAAATTTAAAAAATCCAATTGTTCTTTCTTAACGTTTTGTCCGTTTACGTTATAGCTAAGTATTTTAAGATTACAAACTTTTCTGGTAGTTGATATTTATGTGCTTCCTTGGGTTTCTTTTTCGTTCATCACAGTTGATTTTGCCCCCCCCCCCCATTTCTCATTTCTGTTGTGTGGTCCAAGGTGATTCTGCGTATTAGACTGGTTCTCTAATTTTCTTGGTGACGAATCTTCATTCTCTGAGTTCGTTGAGATCTTCTTCATTTTCGGTTGTTACCTCATCCTTCATTCAAGTCGAACTTTTTCTCGTTTAAAAGCACTCCCAATCTCATGCCTTAAAGCGTCGTATTCTTTAATGACACTACCTAATCTTTTTATTAATGCTTTTATATATCGGCCTTACTTTTCATATAAAGAACTTTCAATTTCTATGAAGCCCTCTTTGTTAACGAAGCCGGTGACTGGGACCTGTCCGTCTTCCATTTGCATCTTTTCATTTTGAGAATTTCCGGTAGGTCACCACACCTTCTTCTCTTATTGTTAGCATTTTTTCATCGAAAATAATTGGCTAAGCAGTTTTTGCGAGGAATTCATCTGTATCATCATTTGAACTCTGATTTATCGTATGTTTAGGTATATTTGACCTCTTATTGAAATTAATACTGTTCCTGTTGGAATTAGATTACCTATATCTTTTGTCGGTTTTGATTTCCGATGGAATCTTTTGACTTCCACAAACTCAAAAAACCCCTCTACAGCTTGCGAATTTTTCCCGTTCTATCATATTTAATTCCACTCCCCTAATAATCATATGTCTTATCAGGACAAAGTAAGGAACGAATGCCTTAATATTGTTTTATTTTAAAATTCTGGTCCTTACTGATAAATTAGCAGCTTGAAACATGTTTAATACGACTTAATGCGAATTTGACCAGCTTTATCAATGTTGACAATATTTTTTCATAATTTATTGTTTTAAAAGTTAGTTCACTACGATGATGTGAACGTGACACGCCTTTATATTGTTCATTCATATTCCTTTGTAAATAAACATGACATGGGCCATTCTCCGTAAATCTAAATGAACATTCAGGTTCTTCATTTGTATTACGAATTTTATAAGTTAAATTTACTTGTAGACTATTTTTTGTTTCTCCGGTCCTACTTGTTTGCCGTTTTTCCATAATGGATTGCATTTTATTTGTCCAAAGACATTTTCTTTTCCGTTTATATCAAAAATAATACAAATCTACTTATTCTGCGTTGAATCGCTGTATTATCTCTAACCTCCAAAAGCAAACACGCGTCCCATGACATTTTCACGTGATATTGTTTTTAGGGCCGCTTGTTCAGACAATCGGATCATATAAGGAATTTCTTTCGTAAACTCTTTTAACTCTAAGGCAGAAAATTATTAAATTTCAGCCGAACCTCTAACGAGCTTTATTCGTTCATATTTTTAGCAGGTAATATATTTTCCTTGATTCTTTTACTGGTTTTAGAGCCATCTGTGGTCCACAATTTATTTGATTGTCTCATGATTTTTCCTTCCCCCATTCCAACTGTTAAAACATGTTCTAAAAATGTTCCAAGCGTCGTATAATCAGACGCCATTTCCAGGCATTTGATCAGGTGATTTTATAGGTGCCTTTAGAATACCCTGAAGATTAATCCCTATTCAATATTTTGTAGAGATGTATGAGGTTTCAAATGACGTAAAACTCACAAAAAAATCACGGGTTGTTTTTAAAATACTATGATTTTGTATGAACGGAGAGAAACAACGTGTTCCAATATCCGTCATCTTTGAATAGGTAAGCCCGTCCACATTTGTGGAATATTCTCAAAATTTAATCCTTCCATCTCATTCTACATTGAATCAAATCGAATAAAATTTTTGCATGACTAGAAAGGACAAGAATTGGAAATTTTAAAAGGGATTTTTTGTGGTTGTGTTGAAAGTGTCTGTATTTCTAAGCGGGATGTACTTATTAGCGTGAATTTGTGATGTGACAGGATCGATAGGGAATATCCCCATCGACCATCAATTAGGTCAGTTTTTTATACACTATTTCCTATGTGCAAAAGATGATGGAGGAATATCGAGTACTCCATCACCCTAATTGAATGGTCATTTCCGTTTGTTAAAATTTATTGCAAAAGATGTTCCAGGAATTGCATAATCAGACACTATTTCCAGGCATTTGATCAGGTGATTTTATGTGTGTCTTTCGAATGCTCTGAAGATTAATCCCTATTTAATATATTTCTAGAGATGTATGAGCTTTCAAATGACGTAAAAACTCANTTGATCACGTGATTTTATGTGTGTCTTTCGAATGCCCTGAAGATTAATCCCTATTGAATATATTTCTAGAGATGTATGAGCTTTCAAATGACGTAAAAACTCACAATAAACCCACGGTTCCTTTTAAAATACCATTGATTTTGTATGAATGCAGAGAAACAACGTGTTCCAATTTTTTTACCACCGAGATATTTAGTTGATTTTTTCATTTCCTGAGACAATCTTTAAAAACATTTGCACTGCCGGTCGTAGATGGAGTGTTGGGAAAAAAAACGGTTCAAAGCAAGAGAGAGGAGTTAGATAATTGAATGAATTATTTAAATGAAGGGGAAATGAAACTTGCCGAAGTAACTACTAAGAAGTGAAGGGAGCGAAGTTATTCCCAGCAAGTAGGTAAATCCAATTAAAAGAAATATCAAGTTGCATCTTGCCACTGTCTACCAGGGGACATAGTCTAAAATTAGCTACAAAGGCTGGTCTATCAAAAGCAAAAGAGGTGTTGCTAATTTTAAAAAAAAGAGCAGAGAGACTTTGAAACTTTGTTCAAGTCTAATCTGTGTCAGGGCAAGAAAAATATATCAAATTTATCCTGATAAGAGAATTAACCTTTAAACTAAACAAAGAAATACGAATTTATCAGGGTCGATTCAGAAAAAAAAACTAAGATAGATTTTATCTTTTTTAGATGTTTAACCCTGAAGTGTGTAGATTGTTGAAAACTTAATTTAAACGTACCATATCAACTTAATGTAAACAAAAAAAAAGACAATGTATAATATATTCTTTTGTAGAGTCTTGAAGAACTTACAATAAAATTCCGAAAGCAAGGTGAAGATTTAAAATTAAAAATATCTTTCTTGTACGGTTGTAGAGTGAAATGGGGAGTTGGTGTCGCAGAGGATCAAGTCATGATAGCTCAAGTGGTTAGACCATTGACGTATTGTGCCCGAAGGTCATGGGTTCGAATCCCGCTCGTGATACTAATTTATCATCTAAGTCGAAAATCTTAGATAAGAAGAGTAATTAATTGTTTTAATAGAGATATTCAACTCATTCGCTTTAATCATATGAAGGTCACCTTAATCGGCAAGTTACAATTTTATCTCAAGCGCTTATGTTGCTTTTCAATACAGTTGTTAGCTTAACGGCAGGTCTAGAACCGCAAAACTGCAAGCTCTATATTATTCATTCCATGATCTTATCTCATAAAGAACTAGTGAACGTAATCATGAGCTCTAACATACCCTTAATTTCACATAACATAGCAACAATGCGGCAGCTGGGTAATGTTCATTCCTCTTATCTGAACCGTTTATTAAAATAATGAAACATACATAAATATCCTTCCTAAACCTGAGATATAACGAATTACTTACGGGCCACCGTAATTTAATAAATAAAAAATATTTGTGTAAAGATGTTACTAGAATACAAAATAAATATAATGGGGAATTATTACAGGATAAAGAGTTATACAATTGTAAAAGTTTAGTTATAAATCATGTTGACCC